TGATGATTCCGTTGGGTCCGGGCATTTTGAGCATCATGTACCCGTAATGGGGTATAGCTTGAAAAATTGTGAATGCTTCTCGCCCTAACAGAGCGTGGTATCCGCTGCTGAACGGGTCCACTTGAAATGTGACCTCCTCGGATCTGTAATTATCCGGCGTGCCGAACACCACATCCAGTGTGATTTTCCCTGAACAGCACGCTTCCCGGCTGGGGATTATTCCTCTAAGGGTTGTGTTGCTTCGCTCAATGCGGCTCCAGTCTATTTCCATTTTTCGCAGGGTTTCCTCGTAGATGAGGTTCAGTCTGCTGCCGCCGTCCATGAGTACCTTTGTAAGCCGGAAGCCGTCCAGTATCGGACCGAGGACCAGTGCGGCTGGTGCTCAGGCTGTCCGGAATTTAGGTTTGTCACTGGCATTAAAGGTAATAGCCGTGTCACTCCATGGGTTTATTGTTGCTACTTGGTAGAATTCAGTAAGGTTGCGGAGCGTTCGTTTCCTTGCGTTGTTTGATGCGAAAGTCTCGAAGACTGTTGACACCATACTGGCGTTTCTGGGGTGGTGCTCTGCGGATTCTGGAGTTAAAAGCTCCTCGCCACTTCTGGCCACCTGCCGGAGTATCCAACATGCTCTAAGGCTATGAGTTGGTGTGACTTCCCCTAAACTATGAATTTTACAAGGTCCATTGAGCCATCCCTCCAGTACGGATCCATACCCTATAGAGGGTTTTTGTTTTTTGCTGTTTGGCCCAGGTGCCTAGCGATAATGCGCCCTTTTGTTTCGGACTGGGATTGTATTCAGGGTCAGATTGTCCTAGAATTTTGTTTTGGTTTTTCAAACGCTTTCTGTTGCACAGTACTTTCGTACTATGGATGTCAAGTCGGCGAAGCATGTAATTTTGCGGCGACTTATGGCGTTGAGGATTCCGATGTCCGTGCAGTTGTTACAGAAGAATGAGATTGCATCCCTCTCACGGCAGTCCTTTATCTTGTTCCTTACCAGGAGGAATCTGGCCCAGTAATGGTGTACTGTTTCCCCAGGCTCTTGCCGAATTTGGGATAGATCCCTTGTATTTGGGTGGGCGGGGGGATTTAAATATGGAACCTCGCCCGATCTAAGATTCGGTTGCCAAGACACTTCCGAATTCGGAATCTCGTTTTCTTGGACGTTATTCAATGAATCAGGCCCGCTGCCTGACTTTAGGTTCATGGCTTGGGCGACGTCTTCCCCTTCGCGGATGTCTGGCTCGGAGGGGTCAGGAATCCGGACACATCTGGTCCTTAGGATGGGCGAAGATCCGCTGCATTGTTCTTCCACCACTTCAACGTGGTGGGTGACCTGGGGAGAGTCAATCTCTCTCCGATCGGGTTTAAGCCCAACCTGGCCGTAATCTGTAGCGACTCCCAGGGCGGCGATGCGATCCAAGAGCTCGTTTAGGGAAGAGAGCTCCATCGGATCTAACTGCTCGGCAAGTTCCGAGCTGATGAGGAGATTGCTTTCGATGGCCCGAGAGGTCATCGTCGGCGCGGCGGCCGAACATGCGGTCATCAAAAACCTGCCTAGCCGGAGAGTTTGGCCGACAGCCAAAGCTCCTTTAGCAACAGCGCCGTCTTTAAAGACGGGGTGCGGCATCCTTCCTGACGGTGACGACACAGAGGAACTCTCAATGAAAGCACCAATGTCGGTGTCAAAACCGGCGGATCTCGGGTAGGGGGTCCCGAACTGTGGTCTAGGCGGATGGTAACAGGAGACAAGGGACACGATGTTTTTACCCAGGTTCGGGCCCTCTCGATGGAGGTAAAACCCTACTCCTACTTGATTAATATTGATGATATGGGTAGTACAAGAGTTGATCTACCACGAGATCAGAGAGGCTAAACCCTAGAAGCTAGCCTATGGTATGATTGTTGTTCGTCCTACGGACTAAAACTCTCCAGTTTATATAGACATCGGAGAGGGTTAGGATTACACAGAGTCGGTTACAATGGAAGGAGATCTTCATATCATATGGCCAAGCTTGCCTTTCACGCTAAGGGAAGTCCTATCCAGACACGGGACAAAGTCTTCAATCTTGTATCTTCATAGTCCGGGAGTCCGGCCAAAGGTCATAGTCCGGCCATCCGGACACCCCCTAATCCAGGACTCCCTCAGGGGCCGTCTGGGCGACGCGGGAAGCGAGAGCGGCACGGCGCTCGGCGCGGGCCCGACGAGCGTCTGACATGGATGCGATGGTCGGTGAAGAACAGGGCGGCGGAAGACGAATTCCGGCGCACCCCTACCTGGCGCGCCAAATGTCGGATTTCGGGTTCCGGCAGACCCTCTAGATTCGAACACTGGGGTGTGCACGGAGATTTCGCCCACCACCTACCTGCACCTCACCGCCTCGCTACGATCTAAGTAATCAAAGGAACAACACAAGAGACACAGAGTTTATACTGGTTCAGGCCACCATTGTGGTGTAATACCCTACTCCAGTGTGTGGTGTGGTGAATTGCCTCTTGGGCTGATGATGAACAATACAAGGAAGAACAGCCTCGCGAGGGTCTGTTCTTGGCTGGTGCGATGAATTGCTAGGGGGAGTTCAGTCGCTCTTTCTACAGGTTTCCTGGTGATGATCCGATGCCTCTACCTTATGGTGGCTAGTCCTATTTATAGGCAAAGGCCCTGGGCCTCTTTCCAAATATTAAGCGGGAAGGGCGCCAACAATTGGCCATTTTGAAGGGGAACATCTAGTACACTTATCCTGACTAAAGTTGGTCCTCGCCTGTCAAAGGCTATGACGATGACGCCTTCCTGGGCTCCACCATGACCTCCTCCCTGCCGTTGCGACGATCTTGATCTTGTTGCACCGAAATGGATGCCTTTGCTTGATGCTCTCGCCTGCGCTTGCTCCCTTTGCACCAAAAAGGAAAGAAGGACACCGTGCGGGCTGGCGCCCGTCTGGCGCCCTTGGTTGTCATGGCTTGCGTCATGGATACCTCGTGAGGTACCCCGCCTTGATCTCTCCGCCTCCTCGCGAGCCAGCCTGACGAAGCCGTGCCTGAGGAAGCTTCCTGTCGTCCACCCCGCGAGGCTCGGCCCCTCCCGAGGGTCTTGAGCTCGTGCTGATGAAGATGAGTCGTGCTGGGCCACCCCTTGAGCCACGCCGCAGGCCGCAGGCAGGCAAGTCTGGGGACCCCCGTTCCCAGAACGCCGACAGCGCCAGGGCTAAAGAGTTGTGGTGCTACTTGAGACACTACTAGATGGAGTGGCAGTGTTGGTGCGAAGGGGAGAGGCACGAGAGGATGCAATGCGGGAGAAGCGAGAGTGGTATGGGACATTAGGTTTTTGGTGTGTGGCGGGCTTCCTTTTCTAGCTTGTTTCACATGAAGTTTTGGCCTGGTACGTTTTGTTTGCAAGAAACCCATGGCAGAGGTTAGATCAATAGTGAACAAAGGCACGTGAATGATCGAACACTAGGAGCTAATGGCCACGAGCGGACCATGCGGTATAGGCCCAGTATGGCGAGTTCTTCACTAACTTTAAATTCTGTTCTACCAAGATGTTGCATTTTTTTTTAGATATAGTATAAAAAAAAAAGATCACATGCGATTGTCGATGAAAACACGAGTACAAGCTCCTCCTGACTAACTGAGACGTGAATTATCAAGCGGCAATGCTTTTTCCTCGATGCGAGCATCGAATCATCATTGAAGCAACACAAACAATAACATGAATGCCCATTTGGTTCGTACAATTTGTGCGCGGGAACCTATTGAGTTAATCTATCAAGAGAAAAGAACCAACCAACATTTTTGTGGTCTCATATATCTTGTTCATAAACTTGGAGTGAAATCAACACCTTCCATCCTAATTATTTTAACCCATCCTAAGTTAAGCGGGCCACGCAACGACTGCCTTGGATTCGATGTTTCCTGCTTGTCGTCTCCCTCTTAGGCTAGGGGCAGGAGTCACCTGCTTCTAGAGATGCTTTTGAGGTAGAGAACACGAGAAAGATAAAAAAAAAAGATATGTGAAGCCGGCACGCACACGTCTATCCACATGTGGGGCCACGCCAGCACAAAGATAGTCATTGGCCGGTAGCGAACACGTCAGATCTCTCAGAGCAACACATCTCTCTAGTTGCGTACACTTAGAATGTACTTCCTCCGTCCCATAATATAAGAACGTTTTCTAGTTAGTAAGTAATGAACACATGTCTTGGTTGAGTCACTCTACGGGCGGGGCCACGGCAATTTTTTTTTTAGGGAAACGACAAGAAATAGTTGTCCAATGATGGTGGATGGGGACATCAAAACACCTAGGTGGAGCTCTCGCAACGACCCATTTCTACTAAATATTGCAAGTTAAGAAATGTATTTTTCTTTTAGGGAAGTTATAAGAGACGTATTGATTAAGTTGTTCTGGATCAACCTAGAGGAAAAAAAAACTAACATTTTTGGTTCCTCATAAATCTTGGTCATGACTCATAGACATGGAATGGAATCAAGTCCCTCCATCCTTATTCATTTCATTATAGGGAAGAAATGAACACTTTCCATATGCCAATAGCCCGCCAACGCCAGCGGCCGGCCAGCGGCAACCAACGGTAACATCGGCCGCGCGCGCTCCCGGCGGCACAGCGCACTGCTATAACCACTCGTCTCTTCCTCCCCCCGCCGCGACTCCACCCCACCCCACCCCCACCCCCACCTACCCCCCTCCCCCCCTCTTCAACGGCTACCAGAAAAACGCCGGAAAAGAAAAGAAAAAGAGAGAGAAAGCGGGGGGAGGAGA